CTGTTTATTGGCTGTTAATTCGCCAACTACTGGGTGTCGTAAACGGACCTCACATATGCGGTACGCAGTGCATACTCGTGAAACCGTTATTACTAATCAACAAATTTTGCATCGTGCTTGGCAAAAAGGGGCAACAAAAAATTATTTAGCTTTGGTGAAAAAAATATAGACTATATTTTAATTTTTTGAAATCAGTTCTATGGAAGAGAGAGAGAGAGAGAGAGAGAGAGAGAGAGAGAGAGAGATACGAAAATAAAGCAACAGAGCACATTTTTTACCATAATTTCTTACCTTCGTGTTTTTCATACTGTCGAGAGAGACTATAATTTCTTTTAAATCTCACATTGTTAGGAGTTTTTCAAAGTTTTCGAAATGGAGAATAATGCGACAAAAAATAAGGGAAAAACGCTTAAAATCTCTATTGTATCTAAATTAAATTTAGAGAGCACATGAGGAGAGCTCGGTTATCTAAAGGTGGAACGGTTGCTCCTTCGCCTCCCGTCTGATCGTCGCATCAGGGAAGGAGAGCGAGACTCTCGGCGATTCCGCGAGCCTCTGACGATGGCCGATCGAATTTCCCGCCGCTAACGTTATCGATGCGCCACGAGGAAAAATGCTCTCCGAACACCCTTTGGATGTCACATGAGCTCGCGCACCGTGAACTCGTATCATCTGCCGACCTCGTGCACGGGCCGTATACGAGCTGGACGGCGACGTTCGTTACGAAAACAATGTAGAAAAAAAGAAAGAAAATTAATGACCTCTCCACCCTGCGTTTTCTCTCTCTCTCTCTCTCTATCATTTTCTTTCGCGCCGAGGATCTCCCTCGTTATCTTATCCATGTTTAACACGTCCCGATCGCCTTTTGAGACACCTCTCCCCCTTATTTTCGTGCATTTTTTACTCCCCGGCTCGATCCGCGCCGCAGGCGCCTCTCGCCGAGGTTTCTTTTTTTTTTCTTTTCGAGCGAGTAGTTTCGTGAAGACCCGGCCACGATAAGTGATAAGTGGAACCCGTCCAGACGATAACCCCGCAAAACTCGTGGTCAAAGAGTAGCTCGCTATTCTCCTACCCGCGGCGGCGACAACGGCGGCGAGTTGATCGAGCCGTTCTATATTTAGATTATCAATCGAACCGGATACCAGGAAACGCGTGCACTCCACAAGAAATCGCCGAAGGAATTCCGAAGGGGGGAAAGCGGGGACGGAATTTTCGGGCGGGCCACCCGTGTCTGATTAAGACGTTGACACGGTGTGTTCGGCGTCCGGCCGGGGCTTGTTATCAATTTTACGGGCGGGCGGACGTCTGCAACACAAAAATAGAAATCCGGTTGCGTGTCGGAAAAATTGAATAACGGTCCGTGATAATGCGTTACGCGCCCGCCGACCCCGCCGCTCGTTCGTTGACGATGGGACGAAGAGACCTGGGAGAGAGAAAGAGAGAGAGAGAGAGAGAGTAGAATTTATTATTCTATGGGATACAAGCATCCCTTTAGATACGTGGCAAACAAATGCGGCTGTGCGAAATAATGTCGGTGCGAAATATGCAGACGGAAAAAACAACAGTGACGATAACGTAGTAACGTAGCGACCGGATGAGAGAGTATAGTAAAGTTAAAATAACAATATGGTCGTAATAAATGGTAGAATAGTAGAATAATAGTAGACGGTGGAAAGAGATGCAATATCAGCAGGCAAGTAATAGCAGAAATATACTCAAAGTTGTGACAAGGAAAGGGCAATATTTCAGAAAGCAGAACGAGAACAGAGATAATTAAGATAATGTGTACACGGTGGAAAGTAGGTTAAAATAATCGTTGAGAGCGTTGATTTCAGTCCTAGGGCATGCCCTCTAAAGACTAATAAGCAAGTGTTTACACAAAGTCGGAAAGGAAAAGTATATAATAGTAGATAACGAAAGAAAGAGAGAGAGAGAGAGAGAGAGCTTATCGTCCCGGGGGATCTTTAGGGCAAATTTATCGTTGATATTTCGAATAGTCTTTTCTTGATTTGTGGGCCAATCGACGATCAGCTTCTATTTCCGTGTGAACTGTCGGTGATCCGATATCAGTAATATATCTGAGGAACAACGGGAGACCTATATTTTTATTTTTGGCGAGAGATATATTCCCGCTGAAATATTCGTTGAATTTTCTCGTTTCGAGTTCATCACGCGGCGGAGACCGCTCGAAAATTCTCCGATGATATTTGAACGTCCTTATATCGCGCGTTACTAATGCAAATCGAGATGAAGATAGTGGTAGCGAGTATTCGCGAGCATTAATAGGGTTATAGTGTGCTTTAGTAATGAGAAACTGAGCTTTCGCTCAGGGCGTTCTTAAAGTACCCTCTGCCGACCTTATTCTCTCTCGCCTGTGTAATAATAATGGAACTTAACGCGGCTTGAAATTGCAAGGGTTAAGCCGCCTTTAAACAAAAAAGTAACGCGCATATTCCATTAATTATAGCATGCCGGTCCGTCCGGTCAAGTAACCTATATTAGAAAGAAAAAAAGGAAAAGCGGGATGTTCTATCGACGAAAGATCAACCGAGAAGTCGAGCTGAAGGATCTGTATTGGAAAAAGAAAGAACGATCGTTCCGGCGTTCATCTGTTAATCGCGACGTAATNGGGGGGGGGGGGGGACTGGCGCTGATTAGTCATGCGTTTCGCGTTTATGTATTTATTATGAGAGGGAGAAACAGTGCGAGAAAAAATGCAAAACGTCCTCTGTAAAAGTTAAATACCGTTTCCCGAGTTTCTTTAGAATTATGAAAACATATTTTGCAATTTGAGAAGAAAAAGGCCGATTTAAGAGCGGCCGATTAGATTTCCAAGCGTTTCCACATCTCACGTTAATATCCTCTACCGTAAGCGAGTAAATTTCGATGAAATATTTTTGTATTAGTTGGAGCACAATTTTCTGCAGTTGTATATGATACTGTTTTGTACGACAGGAGGAATTTTCTTTTACCAAATGAAATGACTGAAATCGAATATATGAACGAATAATAGGTCGGATTAGTATTTAACTATAATATTATTTAACAATATTTAATTAACTACATTTATCAATTATTTCATTTATATTTAACAATATTTAACTAAAAAAGGCTCATATCATGCGCGTGATATCCGATTAGACGACGAAACATTTCACGGCAGCATCGCCCGTCACTTCAATAATTACGGAAAAAATATACATTTTACAGCACAGTTCCCGGCATAAAAGTTTAGAAGGTTGTGTCTATCATCTTCGTGCGGTCAATCACGACGATTGGTTGCCCGGGAAGTTCCACTAACAGCGAAACTCGGTAAAGTTCGCGAACCTGCCACCCTCTCCCGACGTAACCCTTGTCTCTCGACGGACGATAAATTTCCGCCTGTTCCTCGGTTTCTCTCCTATATCTCATAATCGGACAGCCAAGGGCCAGGTGAATAAACTAAATATAGTCCTCCCTCAGAGGCACATCGTTCTTTGCTCAAGGCTGAAGGAAAAGGACGCGCATGTTCTGCATATACACCACCCTCGAGAAGCGGGAACGCCGAGATACATGTTCACGACGTGTGCACGTGCGTTTCCTTCCCCCTCCCTTCCCTCTCCATCGGTGATATCTCAACGATATCTAGTCACGTGAAATGTGGTAAGTGTTTCGTGTCATCGACATACTTCCGATCGTCCCTTGACGAGAGAGGGAGGACACGTCGACGCGTGTTCTGATCTATCTCGGATATTTTCTACGAATCGGCCGCTATCACGATTTCCACGATTAATTTAGCTTCATTAGGGAGCCTCGTCGGAGAAGTCGGCCTTTTTCCCGCGACGACCGATTTAGCGGTCCCCATGTCCAGTCGGTGGGCAAAAGGTTACACAGCACCCGCTTGGGGTCCCGCCTGGGATCGTAAGCTAAAGCGTTCGGAATGTTTGAGAGTGCCAAACGAGTTGCACCCATAGAAGAGGGAAAAAAAGAAAAAACAAAAGAGAACCGCATTCGGAACGGAGTCGAAACGCGGTGCGCCTCGGTGATAAGTGCATCGAACTGCGATTGAAACCCTGGACGACGCGGCGCGACGAGTCGGCGACCGCCGTATCTGCGGAAGACGCGCATTAAGAAGCCGTAGCGCGTAATAAAGTGATAAAAGAAACGTCGAAGCCGCGCATACACACACACACACAACACTTTCTCTCTTTCTCTCTTTCTCTCGCCTTAAGACTTACGTAAAATTAATAACTACTTCGTCGCGTCTCGTCGCGTGGCGTCGCGACATACCACACACATACTCCGGCTCGGCGACTAATATATGACGCAATTAATACTGTCAGCAATTAATACGGTGCAATTAATGTTGTCGGTAATTAATCGCACGATATCCTTTCGCTAGCTATGTAATTCGTGCGTTCTTTTCAAATCGGAGATCGTTGCAAGAGAGAAAATAACCAGATGAGCCAGCGATCTCTTATCGGCAGTGCGCTCACACGTACGTACGCGGAGTGCATTTAGCCTCCGAGGAGGAGGAGGAGGGATGTATCTTTATTAATTAACGCGCATCTGTATATAATTAAAATCATCCTCGGTCGCGCGTCCTACGTCCTGTGTTCGTTTAACGCGCGCGCGCGTTTTAATCGCGATAATCGCGAAAGATCACGCGCGAAATTAACACGCGTACGGGACGAATTTGTTTTTTGTTTCTCCAGAAATACCGTAACTAATAATACGCGCGGGGGAGGGGAGGGAATACCGGTGGGCGTATCCTGAAATAGAACTTTTCACGCCGCTTTGGTGACTGTTACGTGTCGTCGTTGCCGTTCTTCTTGTTTTTTTTTCCTTTTTTTCTTCATGACTAGCGAGACCCTACGTAATTATTCTAATAATAGTTAATGACGCACACGTTGTCGTCACACATTGTTATCCATTACGTGCGCACCCTTTGAGAAGCGTGCGGACAGATCGCCATGAATAATGCATCCATTAAATATCACACGGGCACACGATGAGGGTTCATAATCGATGGGACGACCTGGCGAGGGAGCAGTGCCGATTAAGACATGGACGGCAACGGTCCGCCGCCGGCGATGGTGTCCACCAAGAAGAGAATCAGCCCTCCGATCTGCTGGGGCCTCGGTCTCGTCAACAGGGACACTTTTAAGACGGTTAAAGTGATCCTAATGGGCCAATCGGGTGTCGGCAAGTCAGGTGAGCAGACAGTATTTTCCTCTCTTTATCCTCTCTTACCTTTCTCCTTCGATATTTCTTTAACGAACGACGCGGGCCGACGATCACGAAGCGCCTGAATCAGACCGTTCGGCGCTTCAACCCTTCCGTTTGAAAAAACAAAGTTACAACAGCCAAAAGTGATTCTCGATATAGTGAACTGTTGACATTTTTTTTCTCTCAATCGAACTGATTACCCGACCAATTGCCGGTCATGTCTCGTGATTAATCGCGTGTTTAATTATCGTACGATGAAATCTACATAAATAGAATGTTTCGTTGTACGTATAAGTGGTTGTTTATAAAATTATAGGACAGTGAAAACTTTCACCTGTTATTTTTTATTCAAAACCCACTCTTGTCTTTACCTCTCCGATATTATATCATTATCATATCTCGTTATTTTGTGTTATTATTTTATTATATAGTTATTATTATATTTATTATTTTTATATATATTATTTTGTTTATTTTTATTTTATTATATGGGCAGTTAAAGTAAAAGTTTCGATTGTCGGACAGGCCACTATATCTGGACGTGTACGGAAACTTATAATTATTAAAAGTTTCTATTTCTATTTTTATTATAATTTTATCAATGTTTTAATTAGGTTATTTGTATATCACTTCATCTAAACATTCATGTATGATACGTCGCGGTACTACCGTATTGTTTAGCAACGATTTAAAAATGTGGCCGTAAAATTGTTGCCAGCGGTACGCAATAACAGAATTTAGAAAAATATCGGTCAATATGGAGGAGGAAACGCAAAAATGTAGAAAAATTAAAAAATTAAGCCAACGGTACGCGGTGTTCCCAAGTGGTCACCCATCTAAGTACTAAACGCGCTCAAAGCTGCTTAACTTCAGTGATCGGACGAGAACTGGTGCTTTCAGCTTGATCTGACCGTTGTCTGAGTACTCCTTTCTCCGATAACATCAAGACTGATTAAAAAGTGTAATGCAAAACTGCGACATTTTTCTCAGAGATGTATTTCAAGAAAATCGAATTGGTTCAATAACAAACTTTGCTTTAATATATTGAATATATAAATTGTTAAATTGTTTTCCCCCGCTACAAGACCAGCATTTGGTCATTTATTTACAATTTTCCGTATACGTATAAACTATCGTAATTATAATCACAATCATGGAATCATCACGTAAATAGTTAATCAATAATTTTACTTTCATGACGATCACACCTGAACGCATTGATTCGGGAGAGCTTGGGGCAAACTTGGAAAAGCATTTTGGGTCGTTTAAAATTTCTGTCATCTTCGAAGTAACGTATAAACTTAAATACGTTTTTTTATACTAATGAAAATTTTGCATATTTCAAGATTTGCCGGTCAATTATATAATCAGATCATTAAATATCGTGTATTCTCCTGAATAATTAAGCGGTCGTTAGATGCGTCCGGCGATTGGATCGTTCTTACCTCGCGTCGATGTTTCCGTGCGCCCGGGCACACCTCCAAGCCAATATATCCGCCGACATCGGAAAGTGGAAGAATTAGGCCGGTTGTCGCCGCGAGATCGACACGTTCCGGACCGTCGTTTATTCTCACACCCGCAATCTCTCTCTCTCTCTCTCTCTCTCGGTCAGCTTTAGCGGTGCGGTTCGCCACGAGGCGCTACATCGGCGAATATGACTGCACCACGGAGAGGATTTATCGGGTGGACAATCAGCTGGGATGCTCGTGGGAAATAGCGGATCCGCCGGGTTACCCGGCGGCGTCGACGGAGCCGAAATTACGATGGGCCGACGCGATAGTTCTCGTTTACTCCGTGACCGACCGAGTCAGCTTCGAGGAGACGTCCCGGTTGAGGTATGTCTTGTGCGTGTCTTGTCCACGTGTCCCCCGAAGTGTCCGTGAAACTGGGATGGGTCAACAGCCTCGCGAGAGAGAGAAAGAGAGTGACATTTTTCTTCCCTAATCGCATCCGGCGTATCGCCGCGCGCGATCCGTTCGCGTCTCAATGGAGAAGTGACAGATACGGGTCGAATGTTCGAGCACGCGTGAGAAAGCGCATTTTTTCCCATCGGGAGGAGAGAAAAGGCGCGAGACTGTACAAAGGGATCCTCCGATACATATATTCACGTACGTCAAAAGTCAATCGGCTGCATCGTCGTTGTCCAGGTTCCTGGTGTCGCACGCGAGACGAGGTAGAAAGGTGCCGCCGGTCGTACTGCTTGTGGGAAACAAGGCCGATCTCTCTGGCTCCCCCGGCGAGCGCATGGTGTCCGCCCTGGAAGGCCAGAAAAGGGCAAAAGAAATCGAGGCTCACGCTTTCCACGAGGTTTCCGCGAGGGAATCGGTTGACCAGGTGAGCGTCGGCGTGTGGCAAACAGTTAATCCGGGCCGATTTAATCGGCGCCGATCGCGGCCACTCGTCTCCGTTCGCCTTTTTCATCTCAACGCGTTTCCGAACGCATGCTTGCTGTTCAACCTGACCGTTTGATCTCCAAGCTCCGCTAAGAAATAAAGGCCTCTACAGAGGCGTATTATTGATATTGATTTATTTATTTACTTGTTTATTTACGAAGGAATCACTTCTTTTGTCTAACGCGTATGAATTATTAACGCCTATGAAGAAAATGTAAAAGAAGGAAGTCTTCAGTGAAATACGCAGAAGTAAAAGTGAGGAAAGGAAGAAAAAGGACAATTTACAAAATGAAATTCTGAACTGGAAATTTTCATTTGAAAAGAAAAAAAGATAAATCGATAATGCTTTCATTAATGCCGCGTACATTTTTACTGTACTTTTACATTTATTCATTATTTCGTGGGCTGCGAATAATCTTTGTCCATCTTCGAACTCGAGTTGCTTCTCCAAGTACGATAGGCTTCTTTTGCAATTTTCGAAACTCGTCTATTCTATTTATTCTGGTGTTTTTTGCACTGATTCTGTTCGAAATGAATCTGTGCAATATTTTCTCGTTGATTTTATAAACTGTCCATTTTTTTATATCAACGTTATCTACATTTATTTAATGCTTGTTACAAAACGTGCAGAATGCGGCTCCGAGAGGGCGACAGGGTCCCGATTAAATGCAAAATTCCGGATAAAACGAACGAAACGAGCGTCCGCGATTGGTCCGGGCTAATAATCGAACTTCGATAATACTGTCGTGCCGTTTCGATCACTTAAAAATAGCGTAATCTGAATAATGTCGTTTTTAAGTGATCGGCTGGCTATAAGTGGACGGAATATCCGATAAACGGAGATATAAAAATAAATAAGAGCGACAAGATAAAATATGAATAAGGATATAAAGTCAGCCCTCGATCGGCCTAATCGCCTGGCAAGAGGGAAAAAGAGAGAGAGAGAGAGTTATTTTCCTAAACGATTGTTTACTCCGCGGGGAATCCAGTCATGGCGTTTACGCGTGATCGCGAGGCGTAAACAAAATCTATATCGCTCGCTTCTCAAGGCGCGCGCGCGGTATGCGAGTGTATTTTCGAGTGATTATCTACGCACATTGTAATAACGATCAGGAGCGTATCGGCGTGTCTTCACGCCCGGATAATTTCGCGGAGCGATGGAATCCTCAATTTCGAAGCGAACCCCTCGAAGGATAGTCGAAACGCGAAACACGACGCTCCATTTCCGCTCATGCGGTCTGAAATGACAGACCTTTCTGCGGTGTAAAAAGAAGAAGGACACGAAATAATTATTCAAGGAAGCTCGATGTCTCGCTGAGACGGTATCCTTTGCAACGCTAAAAGGCTGGGGTCTGAAAAGTTCAGAACATAGACGACATAGGCCGAGAACCTTTTAGATAAAAATACCCACTACACTCGCCTCAAAATTCAACTCTAAACTGAAATTAATAAATGAACTTATTTTCGATACTAACCGATAATTTAAGATCATACGGCCAAATGTGCGATTTGGTTCTCCGGTTTATTATCTCTTATCCGTTGATTATCGAAGAGCCACGTAAAAACCGTTGAATAACGAAGAGCCCCATTCACGGTGCAACGAGAATGGAAGAGAAGAGACGCAGAAATGCGATGACGTGAACAATAACAGCCCCCCGGCGCCGATGATCTCCGACGAAAAGATATTCCTTTTTGTTTTCCTTTCGACGTAACAAGCATGGCGTGATAATCCGTGGCCTTTATCTAACAACGGGCCTCCCCGATTATTTCTATTCGACAGGTCATGGCCGTATTTATGAACATATTAAGACTATTGACGGAATTGCCGGCCATTCCGGGAAACCAGCCGACGTCTTTCAGAACGAGAGCCTGCACAGACGGCTCCATCACCACGTATCGCCGGTCGTCTCCCCCACCGACGAGAAGAAGGTTCAGCATTTCCGCACGTGGCACTTTACTGTAATCGTCTAATTCTTCTCCCGGCAGGCGCGATGTGTACTTCGTAACTACTACTTCATCATGACAACTTATCCCGCTAGAAATAGAGGAAAACACCACATGCGATTTTAGCCGTTTTAATAAAACTGTATTTATAAAAAAAAAAAATAAGAGAAACAGCTACCCGCGTCTTTTGGTTCTCATCGATAACACAAATATATACAGAATGTATCACTAAGTCACCCTCCTCACCGTCCGGTAAATATCGATTAAAAGTAACATTATAACAATGCTATTATTTCCTACTTGACAATGTAGTGTAATCGTTATATACGTAGCATACACTGCATTCGTATTGTTGGGTGAACAATTCTGACACCGATGTGTGTTATTGTTGGTTGCTGATTATCGGGCGCGTATTCTTCGATTGAGTCGCGGTGTCCCTTCCACGATAACGTCGCGACGCACTGCGGTGCGAACTGAATTTCCATCGAGGAAATAGGTGAAGAGGAGAAAACGGACGATGAATCTCTCGTACGGAAGTTATCCGTGTCTTATCGCCAGCGCCAAGGCCTTCGGGTTTTCGTCCTGTATCGCCGCTCTGCAACGTGCCACCGTGTTGGAAGCGGCTTTCCCGACTATAAGAACAGAACAATATCAGCCCTATGCGACATCGTTGATTCGGAAGTCCTCTCCGAGTCGAAAATGTTACGATCTTTCAGGATATACACAGAAAATACCGCATTCGATGAAATGTTCTTGCTGCAATTTCGTATATCCGCAAGCATATCGCATAAGCTGTGACCTGAAACACAAATCCTTGGGATCTACCTCGGAGTCTGGCTGCGCGCTGCACACCGACATTCAGTTCCTTCAAGCTGGCCGCCAGTTCCCGATGGCTGTTCAGCCGAATCTCGTGTTCGCGGATCAGATCGCCGTTGATGTTCTTCAACTGCGTCAGTCTCCTCCGCATGTCGTCCACGTTTTCGAGGATCCTCGCGTCCTCCAAGCGAATCACGATACTCTTCAGGAGTGCCGCGCCGCCCGCGGCTTCCGCTTGAAGTCGCGCGTCGACCTCTCTTAAACCTGAGACACACCCGGTCAGTTACAATACGACTGTATAACTGAAATATTATAACTGACACCAGCAGGAAGAACCCTTAGCATACCCTTGACACGTTCCAGCGCGTCCAGCATCCTGCTTTCCTCCGCCGGGAACGTCGCCTCCGAGTTCAGTTCCCTAACTCCGAGGTACATGGCGAGAGACTGAATGACGTCGCCGGCGAGGGTCGGGTCGTCCGTCTGGATGGTCACCTTCCCGCTGGCGTTCGACTTGAAGCAGTGCACTTTGTCGTCCCGCATGCCGCGCAGCCACACCTCGATGCAGCCGGCCTTCGGGCCGCTCTCCGCGACCTCCAGCTCTTCGCCCAAGATGAGACTCTGGTTCAGCCAGATGGCGATACGCTGCGGCCTCTCGGCGACCTGTGCACGTGTTCGCACGTCACGTGTCCGGCTTTCCCTCCTCGGCTACGGCCGAGCTGAAACTCGAGACGCGTTTTACTCACGTCCGCCACGACGCCGTTACTCAACAATCCCTCCGGGATCTGTTGCGGCCTCGGCACCAGCTCGTACATGCAGAATCTCGGCAATTGCCGCGTCACCTCGAACACCTGTCGGACGGTCAGAAATCTGAGACGTTGCAGAATGAAGAAAAAGAATGAAAGAATCGATTTGTATTGATCGAAAGATGCAGCGCGATAGTTTAGTTTACAGGGAAAAACTGAAGGCCTTGTCACGCCTGTCGCGGATCCGGACTTGGACGGTGGAAATAGGAGGGATCGAAGGTCTTCTTCAAGCCTGACGATCGCAACAAAGAACAAGGAATGTCGGAAGTTACACGAATATTGATTGCAAAATCAAGGCCGGGTATACCTGCATCAAATCGGCGCCGTAGGGTCCCACGTACACCTTCACGTGGATATCCACAGGATCGTTTTTAGCCGGGTAGAGCGCGATCTCCAGTTCGCCCTGAGGGTGGGTGGGATGCGTCACCAGGGTTTCACCCTCGAAGACACCCTCGGCGAACACTATGGCGCAATGAACCTGGATGAAAGTGTCATATCTCAGGCACTCGCGAAATCTCGCGACTTCGGCTTCAAATAGTCGATTAACTTCCATCATTTCGGCGAGAGTTGAAGTTACGTAAGCGTAAAGAGTTACCAAAAGTCCCGGTCCGGCGGCCAATGCAACGCGAGCCGCTCCTCTCTTCGTCAGCAAGCTGATCGCCAATCTGGACCCGTGGTACAAACTGGAGCCCGCCGCCGATCTCTGGCGCAGTTCCATTTGGAGCGCCTGCTTCTTCGCCAGCAATTCGCGCACTATCTCACCAGGCTCTGGAGCCTGCGTCGCGGAGCCAGCACTGTATCCGCGTACTGGAAGACGACGAGTAAGAGGCAACGAGTACGTCGGCGGAAATTCGTCAAATCCCAATCTCGAAAAGCAGAGTGACAGCCGAGTCGCTCATAGTCAACTGACAACTAACTAATTTCCAGGATTGTTACTGAATAGGTTACCTTCACCGTTAACAGAAGCTACCACCAAGTCGGGTTTGCCGGTCCTCCGATAATCGGCTTCCACTATACCCGCCACACCGGAGGACAACTGAATCTTAAATATCACTTCGCCGGTGTTGTACGTCCTTGCATCCACTTTCCCGGTACTCCAGCCGGTGATCAGCTCTGGCACGCCGTCGCCGTTTACGTCGAAAGTCCCAATGGAGGCGACCTTGTGCTTCGACTGCGAGACAGATTGAAGAAGTGTGATTGCTATCGTCTCAAGTGACGTCGGTATTTACAACTTCGGGATGAAAGAGGGATCGGAAGGGACTGTGGAAAGATTGTGTGGAAGAACTGAAGAGATATCAAGCGGAGGAAGTAACAGAGCGATAAGATTGATATCGGTGCAAAATGTGATTTCGAGTGAAAGTTTACACGCGTGATTGAGACGATTGAGGTTCTACCTTGACTCGCCACAGTCTTTGTCCCGCTTCGTAGACGCCGATGGTGCCGTTGTCAACCGCGTAAGCGAACTGCCTGTTCGGCAGATCGGTCAGAGCGACGATCGCCGCCGTTTCCTTGGTCTCCCAAAGCATCACATCCTCCTTCTGCACTCTGATTTCGTAATCCGTCGTGCCGGTCAGTAACTGAGAAAGTTAAATCAATCAGCAGGCAGACACCCCGCGAGAGAAGCACGCGGAAGAAACAGCTCCGCCAGTGTGATCGAAGTTTCCGTCGCCCGAGAAGCGGACGAGAGAGACTCGGTTTTACAGGGATCAAAATATATCCTTGTACGAAATCGTCACTCGGTCAATCGCTCTCGGCTGTCCCGATCGAGTGTCCTCAATGATCGGGATAACACTTATCGTCGCCGAGTTTCCATCCGATTCCTGTCCGATCGCAGGAACCGACCGATTTCTCTCCCACACGCGCGGCAGGGTGTGCCGTGCAACATTCACCTCGTTCTCTCCGTCCCCGTCGAAATCGTACACCGCCAGCGAGGTGACGATGCCGCCCATCACCATCCAAAATATTTCCGTGCCCCGAGCGTCCAGGACGGTCACCGAACAATTGCCGCCCACCACGACAACCTGATGCGGCAACCAGCCGACTTTCGCGACGATCATGCAATTAGCGCCGTCCGACATCTGAAGTAATCATTGGAATCGTCAGAAGCCGCGTATTCCCTCAGACGTACGGCCAGTACCTCTTTGTAAAAGACATCGGCGTTGTCCTCGACGTGGTAAGCGAGTACGTGAGTAATGGTCCCGACCAGGAGAATCTCCCTCTCGTCTTCCCCGAGGCGACCGGTGCACAGAGACTTCACCTAAATCCGGGTTCTTGCGGATGACAAATACAGGAGGAAAATACGTCGGTTTGGTGAAACCAACTTGCAGACGACATCAACTGCTTTCGATGTGCACAGACCGGCATAATAGCTTTATATCCGGAACACCCGTGAGTATAATCCATAAATATCCCGAAACGAGAAACGCATTTAAAAGTTTACAGATAGAGCTTCTATTCTTTTTTTGCTCAATGACATAATAAATGAAATATTTTACTCAAGTAGCGCGCATGGGGAAATACAATTTATACACCCCACAGCTCAAGTATAAATTAGTGAGGGTAAGAGTAAACAGCAACAGAACAAATTACACTTCAAAGCTTAATCCACACCTCATGTTTCTACACTTTATACTCGATACCACCTTCATATCGCTGATTTTTTAATCTTATAAACTGAAGCTTGTGTTGCAGAGCTTGCCATAAGGAAGGAAGTGCATTGTACATTCTAGAAGAGTTGAACTTCGCGTGTTAGCACTGCAATGCCGGTCTGCGTGAACACCTTTCGCGATTAACGGAACTTCGGTTCTGACAGATCCGGACCTCGGTGCCGATTTGAAGCTCCGCCAGTTCCCCGCTCCACGATAATCTCTTGTTGGGCTGTTTGTCATCGGTGAAGTTGACGTTCTGCGGCTGCCTGTGCGGGCTGTGCACCAAAATGGTGCCGCCGGGCGTGGCGGCCGCGAGGCACGCGTGCGACCCGTCGAATTTCCCACTCACGACGAGGCCCGCTTTCACGTGTTTCTGGATGTTCAACGAGAACTCTGCCATTCCCGAACGTCAGGTTGCCACGATATCCCGCTAATGTTGTGCCTCTACCATTGGCACGGTGATGGACTATTGATTTTCCACAGCTACAACGCTATACACGTGTTACCGTCGCATATAGAGATACAACGAACGACGCGGCCTCAACGTCGGAGCGAACGGTTCTCTCAAATAAATGAAAGAAATGTCACGAATCCTCGAAGAAAATGTCTAGTTTCCACCGGTGCGAAAAGTGGACGTGGCTTGCGTCGGAAAAAAAAGAAAAAGTGCGGTGTCACCCAAACGATTATCTTAAACTATTTTATTCAGTTTATTCTTTTATCATAGAAGTGTAATTATCATAGCAATATAATTGTATTATTAATAATATTATATTATATCATATATCGCTATATATCTGATTATGAAATTATACTATAAATTTGGACAACTTCTCCGTAAGATCACCCTTCGACACTGGGACACAATGCACATGCAGGTACAATGAAAATTATCTCTGTTTAGCAAATCATTGTCTTTGTGCACTTGCCCCTGCGGCGGCTTCCGGGTTCGTCGCGGATGACAGGAGTAGAAAGATCAACGCCGGTACAATGTACATCCACTGGAAAACAGAGAAAACGCCATTTTATCCTGCCGATACATTCCGTGGTGTGGCTGCCAATTGAGTGGAACTTATTTGAATCGACCATCACTCGATGGATATGCTGTGTAATGAATAAGATAAATAGATCGACGGAAAGGCGCTCACATATTTCGCGAGGAACGAACGATTATCTTTGGTCTCCCCTCTCTCTCTGGCCTCCCGTTCTCGTTCGAGCTTCTGAATGTACGTAGCCGTGTCCGGGATCGGACCGCCGTCCGGGTATTTCACCACGACGTTGGTGGTCCACATATTTGTGAAAGGATTATCGAATATACAAGGGCCCGAGGATGATATGCTCACAGCCACTGGCTCCGCTGCGCTGTCCAGCCATATCGTCACGACATCCTCCAGGTCGGAGCCAAGCAGGTAGCACTATAAATCGGTATCGGCGTAATCAGTACATCGGAATATGTTACATGAGACGTGATGTATTACTAAACGAGACAGACATCCGAGAACCATCCGATCTTTGGCCGGAAGCTGTCGGTTCTTGGAAGTTCACGGAGGAAAGTCATTCAGAGCGACGGCAAGTTTCACGGCCTGGGGAACCAATACAGGAATACAGGCCGCTCCTCGAATATCGTTCGGTATTTTGGGAATTGATTCGTGTTCGAACTTTTCTCTTTGTGAGACAACGTCGGGAGTGAACTATCCGGAAACATTGCACGGCACCCTGTGTATGTATTTCGCCACAAGAGCGTGAGAGAAATTTGCCGTCCCTCCGAATGATTTCCCCCGCGTCTGTCCGACGTGCATTACCGCTGGCACCGAGGTGAGGAAGGTGATCTCGCTGCCGGAGGAGGTACGCGCCAATGCCTTCAGTCTGTACTTGCCGTCGCTCTTGGCGAGAGTCTTCAGCGCGTTTATCTCGAGCGGCAGCAAGCCGTTCTGCCCGACGACGGACATGCCGCTACGCACGCTGGACACCGTGACGTTGCCGCGCTCCGTGAACACGGCCACCGGTTCGTCGTTGAACGCGTGCCATAACCTCAACTGCAGCCAGCCGTCGTAGTCGAGCTCGCTCTGCAACGTGATTTTCCGCGAATGCGAGTGACCGTCGGGATAATCTCAACGATCGACGGAAGACACGATCCGACGATCAACGAGAATTAAATCGTAAGGGGGACAAAGAGAGAGAGAGATACTAACCCCGTGAACGAACGAAAACACACAGAGCAACGTGCCCACGATGACATGCGACAAATACATCTTGTTGCGCGAACGAATAATACGTCGAGGATAATTACGAAGCCACCGACATAGGGCCACGTCTCATCGTACAACGGTGATCCCCAGGCTGCCGATGTTTACCACCATGCTCATGCCAAATCGCAGAACACGCACGACTTCGATGACGTTGACCGACGGTAGGAAGCGACTCCTACTGCGCTACAAAGGTTGCAACGTGGTGGTCATGCCGTGGATAAAGGAGCTGTGAGTGCGGACAGCTGCACTTTCTGCACCTTACCTCTCTCTCTCTTTCTCTCTTTTTCCCTCTTTCGCACAGCTGAACGTCTATTTTTTTACTTTTGTATTCGGCTGTAATTTTTTGAACGTAATGTTATCGCTTAATATATTGACTATATAACGTTTTATTATTCGGGATTGAAGGAGACCGTCGTGTTGCGATTGTAATTAATGTTTTCAATTGTTATTATTCGATTTCGAACGATACAACGACGTGCAAGTTACACGATATTTCGCACAGATACACTGAAAGAAAAGGAGGACGGTTAATATATCGCTAAAATTACAATTATTTTCGGCACCAACAAAATCTTCTCGCCGTTTTAACAAAAAAGTAGTAATAGCAATGTGCATATAATATTAGTAATTATGATTAATAACAAATACTATAGTAACGCTCATTATATACAAAAATGGCTATCCCGATTAAAATTCTTCATCACAATGTACGATTATAGTAATAGCAAACATTTCTTTCTCGATGTACTATAGGAATACGATATACGTGTACCTTTGAAAAAGTTAGCCGTTAAACATCATTAATTGCACGATAAAGTCACTTTGATACGAGAAATTGAATTGAATTGGCTACGACGTTGCCTTCGAGGGATCTTGGATACACCTCACAAAGAACAACATGCCTAGACATCTGCTTCTTCCCTTATCTATTTATCGCGTACGGCGCTTCGTTGATGCGATATAAATAGTACGGCGCGATTCCACGATATTGGCCTAAAATACAACTTCGATTCGGCTGACTTTACTCGATCAGTCTTGATCTTGCAGCTCCTTGTCGAAGATGTGGACCCCGAGGCCTTCCCCGACTCTCACCAGATTCGTCACGTGGTCGGCGATCTCTTTTATCGAGTCCACTTGCTCCTGCAGGAATTCAGTCTCCAGGTAGTCCATGAAGTTGGGATCGTTGTGCGTCGAAGCGATCCCGTGCAGCTGCAGCAGATTCTGCGAGAACCAGAAAACGGAATGAATTCGCGTTGGTTTTTTTTTTTTTTTTTTGGCATGAGACGATCTATGGCAAAAATTCCTCATATATAATTATATATAGAATATGTTCATATATAAAAAATATATAATTATATATGGAAAAGTTCCACCTGGGGAGTCAGATCGTGCAAAACTGAACGTGTGTATGTGTGTATGTGTGTGTGCGAGATGTGAGAGTACCATGATAGAAATATATGACTGAAAATATAATGAAATTTTACTGAAATGTGTTTGAAGTTTTCTCTCTCTCTCTCTCTCAATTGCCCCAATTTCATTATTATTCCATCAATATTTCAGTAAAAATTTACTTGTCAGCTAAATTCAGTAAATTTCACGATATTCAATATTTCCAAAAATTCGTTATTACTTCTCGACAGCAAAAATTTAACTTTCCTTATATTTCACAGTATTACATTAAGTTTCATAAAAGAAATTATGATTCATTTTGAAGTGTACTCAGTTTCAATTTTTCAATAATTTTCACTTCATTTTGCACCGATTACATAATAATTTTAATAAGATATTTCTATCCAATGTATACGTGCGCGAGTGTGTGCGACGTTCGAGGAAAAAAAAAAAGATCGGCTGGAGGAGCTGGGATTTGAACCCAGGACTTTCCGCATGCGAAGCGGACACTCTACCACTGAGTTACACCCCCGATTGGTAGAACACCGTTTAAAGTTGTAGTACCTCAGCGAGCGTGCTCCGTTAGCGAGTTACGTATGTTGTGATAATTCAATTAGCGCTGTGAGACGAGACGGCGACCTCGAAAGGCATTTAACGCGAGCTCGGATATGCGCGAATACCGCGCGTTAAACAAGCGAACGAAAAATGACATTACAATCGACTGTTCCGAGCGGTGTCGCGCAAGTGGAACGTCATTTCACCGCACGAATTTTTCGCCTCGAACGTGTGAGTTGGCGATATATAATTTTGCCTCTCTCTCTCTCTCTCGTTTATTCCGCTCCTCAGCGGAATCGATTACGCGCACAATGGCGCCGCGTACGCACCTCGTTCACCAGCTTCTCCAGCTTCAGGGCCTCCATCATCGCATTCTGCGCGCTTTGCCAGTCCGTCGGCGGCTCTTTGATCATCGGCAGGGCGATATCGCCGCCCCGCTTGTTCTGATAAGTCAGAAATTTCATGGCATGCTCGCGCTCCTCGTCCGACGCCTTCTTGAAGTACTTGAAGAGGCCCGGCAGAGCGACGTCGCTCCTATCGAAGTAGTACGCCTGCAACAAGACGCATGCGGACGATGCATTGACAATGAAAGAGAGAGAGAGAGAGAGAGAGAGGGAGAGAAAGGAAGGGAAATGAGAGAGTAAAGGGATAATAACGTGTTTCGACGCTCCGGGTGAAGGATTTCTTCTCCGTTTTCGGAAAATTCGCGTGATCATCGTGACGAGCTTATCGAAGGCTGTTTACTCGGTCAGGACCGGATGAAAAAGGGTCCAGGCGGAAAATCTCGATTACGTCATAACAAGCAAAGGAGGAAACTCATTTCTCGACATAATAACTCGATCAACCCAGCATCCGCCGAAGTTGCAGTGACTTTCGCGAGGCTTCACGCTCCGCGCCGATGTCGCAAGAGCGAAGGTGTCCCCGTTCGCTCCAATCGCTCTGATGGCAACAACGCAGGACGAGCAACGCGGGCCGCGAAGGCTGAGAGGAGCGGTGTCGAGAAAATAGAGAGAAAGAGAGAGAGAGAGAGAGAAAGATAGAGAGAGAGAGAGAGAGAGAGACACAGAAAGGGTCACATGTTATTGTTCCAAGTAAGCTGCTCAGGTCCCACAAGGATTATACGTTACGAAACGGCAATCGGGGGTGAGGAGTGCACAGGTGCGAGAGAGGTTGCGGGGTGCAGACGAAGGGTTAAAAATAGCAGCGAGTCTGATCGATACGCCGACTGACCATAGACAGATAGACGTAGCTGGCGTATAATTCCAGATTGATTTGCTGGTTTAGCGCCTCCTCGCACTCCTTATGGAAGTTCTGCCGCACGCTCATGGTTATATCAACGAAACGGAGTTATGCGTATATATGTATATGTGTGTGAGGGTGAAAGAAAGAAGGAAAAACAGCTCTGGAGGTACGAGCGAGTATCACTGCGCGTCGACGGCCGATCGATTGCCGGGCCCGATCACCCCGTCCGTTCGTTTCTTCCGCGAGGAAAACACGCGAAGCACGGTGTCACCGCGAGAGTCTGTCGCGCACGAGCTTTCAAAACATTCTGCGAGCCGACGTATAACGCGCGACGGATAGTCGGCGCGAGAGACTGCACGCAAGCGCGAGGTCCCCCCGGTCGGCAGGAAAAGCCTGCGGCCTTGACCAGGGAAAAAAGCGCCGGGCTGAAGGAAGGCCCGCAGGAGCGGAAGCCAGCGCGAGGAAGGATCCGATTGGTGGATCCGAACGATCGGTCGACGTTCGATCGATGGATGAGTGATTGATCGCTCTCGGTGCGCCGACTCGCCCGGAAGGATCGTACGCTCGATGGCGGGCTCAGAGATGATGAAAGGAAATAAGGGGGAGGGAGGAATGAAATGCAGGGAATCGGGAATGAGATATGAAAATGTTAAAATCATAATGTAGAGGTATTAATTTTCATGTAGCTTTGAGTCCTTGTCTTAATAACGCGCAATGAAACATCTCGTATCCGGATACTTAAATGAGAAAAGCTGTTCCGTTCGTGACCGGTGATATAAATCGCGGTGTAATTTAAAAATATGATTATTTCGACCAAGATTTGGAGCACAGAATGTTTTTTTTTTTAATTACGGGCCATTCTGCCGAGGTCCTAAACTTCAAGATTTTGTCCGAGGCGAGTTCACTTGACGTGGATTTTTGCGACGTGCAAAAGTATGTTACGACGCATGTGTTTGCGACGTATCGTTTAGCAGATAACAATGAGTTATCGTAATGCTTCGCAACGCCTCCTAATATCGGTTGTTCACGATATTTCGGAACGATCTGCAGCTGCAAACTCTTTGAAAACGATCAATGCGATAATGGGCGTGTTGCGAAATGTACCGGCGGTACTGAAAGCCCGTAGCACACACCGAAAAGAGAACTCAGGGTTGTGCAAGTTTTGTGATATAAATCGCAATCGAATCAAAGGTCCACACTTTGAGCTTACTTTTATCGATAAAAGTGCCCTAAATATGGATTCTCGGCCAATCAGATAGCCTCTGAGCCATTCTTAGAAGTATTTTTATCGGTAGAATTAGTCAGAATATCGGCCGAATTAAATAAAAATCCTGTCGGATCGGCAATCTGACGTGGGAATTTAACTTGCAAAATTTAGACAACATTAATATTGATAATCGCTATTTGTGTAAGTGAATTTTCGGCAATAACATTCCGCGGGAAACGACATACGTAATACGATAAGCACGGTAGTATTTACTGTTTTTTCTTTTGTACGAAACGTTCAAACAGGTCGTTGGATTGTTGGACGACGATCACTGCGAATCGGTGTGTAAACACGCGTCTCTTCGAGGCTGCTTCGTCTTTTCGTTTCGTCGGATTTCTGTACGGTTTATCCATCTGTGACACAACAAAGGGAAATTCTTAACCGAAAGATTTCAACAAGTCACTTGCGACTTATTCAAGCGAATTGAGAATTAGATGCTATATTGAACCAAATTTCGAGTCTTATACGCACAAACAAGAGACGAAGAGAGCCAAAATTTTATTCGAAAAACTGGGACAGCTGTTCGCCACGTACAACCCTGAAGTTGCGTTCATTTAACTTATCTTGGAAGATAGTCAATAAAGCGTCCATTTCGCGACACGTGATGACACGAGCCTAGACGAACGGCGCAAAAACGCTCAAAAGATATCCTCGGGTAATTTTGCCGAGCAAATAACTCTGTAAGTCGGCTCGGCTACAAGAATAAATAATTAAAAGATAAGTACTTTTAAAAGAAATTACACGAATATTGCGTGATAAAGTATTTATTCTTTCAAATCGAAACCTACTCGCGTCCGATGTAGCCATGTTTTAAGACACGACGTTCCGATTGAGAAATCGTTTTGTATTTAAAAATCTCTCCAGAATTGATCTCGTAATTTTTCTCGATGCGTATCAATATTAATAATAAATATAAGTGTACCATCAGACTGGTCTGTTCTACATGTTATGTCAAGCACAAGAAGAAATTTGGCTACGATGATTGGCTCTCGTGGTTGTCGACTCGTGTTCGACCGTCGTTTTTCCCTCTCTCTCTCTCTCTCTCTCTCTAAGGTTACAGTGACGTCGCGTCTCGAGTCGTTCCAAATCACCCCGAAGGGAAATAGGTGACACAATAAGTGTTTTCGTGCGCGTTTCCAGCGAACTTCGCGCGACACGTCCGAGTGAAAAAAAAAAACGGCTCGTGCTTTCGCAGCGATGCTCCACGCCGTCGCGTTTCCTTCGGTGAAGAAGACGCAAAATCGGTGAAGCCCGAATAATATCGCGTATGGGGTTATATCGCGAAAGATGCTAGGAAACCGCGTGTCTCGCAGAATCGTCGCGGTGTTCGCACTGATACTCGAAATCTCGGCGACTAAACACTGGATCGTCACTGAAAATGGGAAAATTCAGCCGCAGGTATTCCTCCTCTCTCTATCTTTCTCTCTCAGACTGCTCTGTATTTTAACCTCAAAACACGAGAATTCGCCGTCGACAAATGCCGAATCAACAGTGACATGTGAAAATACACATCGTCACTCTGCAGTTAGGAGAATTTTCGGAAGCTCAGGGGAACGCGATGTTTCTTTTACTTGTCTCCTGAAGGAGAACAGATTACACGAGTCACGTTAACACATCGTTCTTATGTATATTAGTGTTCTATATTGTGTGGTTGAAGTTAAAGGATAAATTATCTTTGGATGACTCAAAGAGAGATTAAGAGAGAAAGATTCATTATCTTTGGATGACTCAAAGAGAGTTGTACGATTGTATTGTAATTGATTCTTATTTCGATTTTTTTTTGTTGCATTCTTTTCTATTTTTATTTCGGTAATTACCTCTCATCATAACAATGTCTTCGATACATGTATCAGTATATTTTTACATATTTATTAGTAAATTAGTAAATACACATGTTAGTAGACATATATATTAGTATTCTGTGACTGAAGGTAAATATTAAATTATTATTTGAGATGATTCAACAATATAATATAATTATAGCTTATCCTTGATTCTCTTGTTGTTGTATTTATTTGCATTTTTATTTCTATCACATATATATGATTATATCATCTTATGTGATTTTATTATATCTCTATTGTGATCTTATGTTTGTATTTCAGCATGACAGTGTCTTTGATATGCGTCGACCCTACGATCTCCTGGCATTTTTGGAACAGGAGAAACGCAGGGAAACGGCCAATGCCATATACAAGAGAATTTCGCGGAAAGAGGTATCCATTGACAATCAATTCGCAGATTTAGGCGTGGCTGATACAGAAAGTGCAAATTTGGATTGTTTTTTATGGGACAAGTCACTAGCCGATATCGATGTACATGCTAGCATAATGATCGACCTCAAGCACAGAGATGGAATAAGGTAAATGCTTCCTTGTATAACAAGATGTCACATTTATGTAAATTCAGCGATACGTTAAGCAGTCATATATTGTGCGTCGATCAAACTTTGTTGCAGCAAAAAGGATTATATGTTGTACAATAAAGGGGCCAATGGTAAACAAACCGAGCCAAATTGTGAGAAGACATTTCCACTGGAGTTTAGCGTATTCACATTTGACCATCTTAAGGTGAGTAGTACATTATCTCTCTTTCATTAAAAGAGTGAAATAGAAATATGGCGTAGAAGTAAGATCGTAATGGATATGATAAGATGATGTGTGCAATCATATTTATATATACACAAATATGATATGATAAGAATGAAAATGAAGGCGCACTTGCAAGCTCTGCTTCTTGTATTCAGGCGATGCAGAATCGACAGAATCTTACTCAGCGCGAAGAGCCCAGCCTGATGAAGTACCTGCCGCCGAATACTGATCTCTACCAATTTGGCGATCAGCTTGCTCACAGTCTGTCGCGCAACAGGACGTCCTGGATCTACTTGAATCTGGCGTCACTTTATTGGCGGATCAAAGGGAACGCTTACAACGCTTTAGAATGCAGTCGCAGGGCGATCGAGCGTGCCCCAAAGTAATTGCAAAGAAACTCGTTAACACGTTGACTGCCACGTACACGCCATTTAAGGAATTTCGTGTTATTTCGATATGCCAGTTAATTTATTGGCATAATAAACGAAAGTAATTAATAAGACAATAAAAAGGTAAATTAATAAGTAATTAATTGCTCGGCGAGAGACTCGCGTTAAAAGAGAAATTTATTCCCGCAAAGAAAGGGAAGCGATCCTGAGTTGGCTCGCACAGAGAACTTCTTTTCGCGCGACAGAAGTATGAAATAAATTTGGCAGTCGATGCATCGCGAAGGGAGATGTCGGATGGAGGTGCCTCAGCTCGTAGTTTACCTCTCTTCTAAAACGAGAACATTGTGCTTGTGGTCCAGGCAATACCGTGATATCCCACTGCTGACCACCGCCGGCATTTTTCATGCCGCGAGGTACTCCGGCGAGGCCGCAATCGTTTTGCACACGGCGATCGACTACAATCCGTTGGAGAGTTACCACCACTTGGCGTTGGGCCACATTTACACGTCTCTCGGCGACTTCGACCGGTCCGCGGCGTGCTACGACAATTGCTTGAAACTGGCGCCCGAGACTGCGGAGGCCAGGCAGATGAAGTACGCCATACTGTGCCATCGTTTGCTGGAGACGACGCTGCTGTAAGTTTCCGATGCAGTAAGTCCGATCAGTGAGCGAATACCGGCCGGGTCTGGTCATTCAGAAAAGGGCAAATCGACGAACGCGCAGTGTTTATCGTCACAGGCGTCTGCGAGATGTGCTGTCGGAGATACACTCGTATCACGACTGGAAGGAGGAGTGGCTGAAGCTGTACGAGCACATGCTCTGGGAACAGAACGTCAAGTCCACCACGAGAGAGATCAAGCTCGCCTTCGCGCGCGAGCAGAATCTGGACCTCCTCGCTGTTAATCCGATCGAGAAGTCCATTAACCACCATCTCGGCGACAACGTCATTCTGTCTTACATGGATCTGGGAGACAGGAAGAAGGTGGCCGAGAATATGCTGCAGCATGTGCATCTAAGTCTCCATATACTGAAGAATCTGCAGCAACCGGTGAAAGAACGCAATCATATCGCACAAGGTAGTTTGGTAACAGGCTTAAGAGCAAGGTTGGGAGAGACGAGAGGCCTTTCTCTTTCTCTCCTGCGTTGCCAGAACGCTCGGGAATCGCGACCGTCTGGTAGCGCTGGGAACGCTTCTTGCTAGATATTACGTTGCGACTTAGTGCTCAGAGCGAACAGCCAAAGGCTTATCGCACACTTATTGTGGATCAGGTCTTGCTCTTTCGATGTAACTTGTTGCCTTTGCTAGTTACTCATTGTAGAAACTCGTTACGAACAGCAACCCTTCACTTCCCAGCTCTGAGCCTGAGCTGTATTTACTTTCGCACGCTGCGACCGGTGAGAGGCCTCACTTCGAACCCTGCGTTTGCTTCACAGACATGTTGATGGAGCTGAATGTGGAACATACACATGCGTTCGCGGCACCGACCAAGAGCCCCAAGTACCACAATGTGGAAATTAAGAAAGGAAACGAGGATTTCGAGGCCGATCATTGGCCGAGGATATCCGATTGCGACGGCTCTATGCTAATGTTCGGGGATGGAAAGCAATATTTGCCCGTATATCTGTCTCCCGAGAACAAAGGCTATGCGTAAGTATTGATCGCAAAACGCGTGCGCTTGTTTTCAACACGGTGGAGGAGAACTTGTTTCGGAGCGATTTCCCGGCAGATGAGCGGACGGGCCTCATCGGACCATCGGCTGTATTCCGAATCAGGAAACGAGTTCAGACTGCATTGAAACCAAGCGTGCGACATTCCTATTAGTGCTGTCGGTATTTCGGATAGCTGGCTACCCGTACTTAGACGAGTATATGCATTGATTTTCCCTCTATATTCCGTCCGTCCGATGCACCGTTAGGAAAATCAGTTATTTGTAGCGTCCGAAATGAATCGAATGATTTATTCAGGGTATCCGGATAACCCCGAAGACCCGGGGTTATAAAAACATCCCGGTCGAGCCGGATAGTCCAAGATTGACAGCGCTAATATCTCCGAGCGTGTGTTCCCTCGTGCGTAACCTAACGAAGTCGATTTTTCTGTGTGTCATTAGAATACATTTGTTCGTAAACGAATTGATCGATATAGAACCGGGGAAGAAGCACCCGCTGCCGTGGCATCCGCCGTTGTGCCAGGCGCCCGGGTCGTTCGACGAGAGATACATGACGCGCGCGTTGCTGGACGCGACGGCGCGGCAGCACACGCCGGACGCGTCTCTCAATCCGTTCCTACACAGTCTGGTACAAAGTGCGGATTCCGCGGAGATCGGCCAGAGGATCTTGACGGCGATCGAGGCGGTGCGATTTCTTCTTATTTATTATACCGAAAACAGCCCTTGCGCTACCTTACGCTCGGGAAGATACTGACTGTGCGCGTGTGTGAATCAAAACAGAAAATAGCCCCCTGGGTGTTGTCTGTGCTCGCGTCTTTGCATTGGCGGACTGTGGGGAAGCCTCGTTTCGCCTTGGATTGCCTCCAATTGGCGTTGGACGGAGTCCCCGAGGAATTCAGGGACGTGCCTCTAGTCAGCATCGCCTCGATACACCACAAAGTGGGCTCGATCGATGACGCTTTGCGGATCACGAGGGAAGCCTTGCGCGTCAATGTCGCGGAGGTAGGTGTGTATGAGCGCGAGCGAAGCTCGCATCGCAATAGAGTAACCGCTCGCGTATTTCCGCCGCATCGGGACCACCTCGTTTGTCGCTACGTACCGATAGGAAGAGTCATTTTGTCATAATATATTTCAGCCAATGACTAATCTTTTGTTTGGTATATTATTGAATGTAAAAGGAAATCACACGGGCGCAATGCATTACTTAAAGCAAGCGTTGAGAGTGGATTTGCACCTGTACGACGGTAAAGCGCTAATGATGTTGAAAACGTTAGCCTGCCGTGAGAAATTTGATGTTATCACCGGCGATCACGCAGGTATGTGCCGTAGACGTAATAATGATCAACATATTCTCGCATTTTCTTCTTCGAAATCAATCGACGCACTCCGCACGATCTTCGGTCAACGGGAATGTCGAGTGCCTTTTTCTTTCTAAAGAAGTCTTTTAAACATCTTCACGGCGTATCTCAGACATTCGTGTTGTCCGGCCCGATCTTATGATCTTCTGTGTATCACAAAAGTGCAGTAGAGATGTGAAACGCGTGTTTTTGTGTTATTTTCTGTTGAGTTCCCGTTACGTGTATTTACGCGGATTCTCGTGAAACACGTACAGTCGTTTCTCGTCGAATTACGTAGATGGTAGAAATTGAAAGATAAACGAACAAGTAGAGGAATAAGGAAGTATGGATTGGTATTTCTCTTCTTGTTCAACACAATGCTTCATTTGCACGATCGCTGCAACCCATTCATGCTTCTGCCCTGCGAAGGAACTCGCGCGAAGGTCGAAGACTCGGTTTCTCCCTTCATCACACGCGGCTGCGTTCGCACAGAATTCACCCTTCTTTTCTTTTCCCTTCTCTTTTCAGTTGATTAGTTCCGTACACGCTGTTGACGACGCTGTGTGTTCTTAAAAAAAATAAATAAAAAAGAAAAACGAGCAGATTATTGTGATGAATAACGAGAACCGTGTTGTCATAATCACAGGCTGTGAGAAACGAGGGATTAATTTACGCAAACGTTCTGTGAGCCTACCTACCGTATTACTTACTAAGTACAATTTGCAAGCGAGCGACGCGCCTTCGACGCGCCAACGACAAGTCAAGAACTGTAAACGCCCTCACTGCCGGAAACCGGAGGTAACAGGTGCGTATCTTCGCACGTGTGTGTGCCTTAAAAGAAACAAAAAAAGAAGAAAAAAAAACACCTAGACGTGAATCTATTTTAGATTTATACTTTTATGTGCGAAATTTTACGTACACGTAAATTTGAGTTTATGTTTGAATACCGCGCTCTTGAACAGCACGTATTCGATATTTCCGGCCCGGGAGGCGAATTGATACACTTTACGTTGTAATTCTTGTCTTGTTATTTGTTGCTTATTTCTCTTTGTACATAAAATAGTACAAATAATAAAGATCGTTCTTACTCTCTCTCTTACTTTGCGTCTCTTTTTATTGCTTTACCTAATTTGTGCGAACGTGTCGTGTCGTCATTCGCAATTTTTCTTTATCTTCGCGCGGTTTATGTATATTTAGTTTCAACGCGAAAAACGCAACGTCGAAGTTTCCGAACGGGCATTCTCTCGAAATCGAGATCGGCCGAGCTTGGTCTCTTTTTTTTTTTTCCTCGAGACATCTCGACATTCGAGTTTTGTTACTGCTGAATCTAGTGCGAGCGATAGTGGAAGGATATTATTGTAGGGACGAATTGTTGGAGCGAGCGCAGGCTCGAGTTGGCGGACAACCTGCCGCGATACAAGAGGGAAAACACCCGCCAGGGTCTGATACAATCGTTGTTGCTCCCCAACAGCGCTACCGAACTCCACGAACCGCGCGTTGACGCCGGCAAGGTTCCGAACAGCGTAAGCGAACGATTCTGAATCACTTCCAAGTCGGGAAAAACGATTCCGTCGGAGCAACTGGAATTTTCATTTCATATCACTGAGTTTTCATCTGGTCCAGTCGCGGGAATCGAATTTTTCTTTTCCCGGAATGGAATATTGCTTTCACCGTGACCGAAACAACCCAGTCACTTACCGTTTGGTTCGCAGGTCTTTCGTATGAATTTACTGACCAATCAATACGAAGTGGCTCGCGCAAACAACTTCTACACATTCTTACCGAAGGACACGCCGCACAGCTATGCCGACTGGCCGTTCGGCAAAATGTCCGATAATCAGAAAGAATCGTATTACCCGAGCAAGGACGAGTGCGACGAGCTTAAACACGAGGACTGGGCCGCCTCGTTATTCGTATTCCACAAGTTTATACGGCGAAACGTGACGTATGTGATCGGCGAACCGCGATGAGAGAGTTCGTTTCGGGCGTGAAGAAAGCTAACGGCAATTCCTCGATCGACGTTTCTCTCGGTTTCAGCATCGAGGACGAGCTGGAGTCGTTGGGCGACGACGTGCCGGCTTTACAGCCGACCTGCGACAAAGGTAGTTCCGAGATGAGTCGGATCACCGAGGTGGTGCAATTCTCGCAATCGCTCCGGCGCAAAGCCGAGCTCGACGTGGCCGAGTGGCTGATGATGATCACCGGAACGCAAACCGATACGCTGCAAGGGCTCGGGACTAAAATCGCGTTCGCGTTGCGGAAGGTAAGGTAAAAGTTTCCTGGTTGTCAGGCATGAAACGTTATAATAACAAGAATGACGTTTAAATTCCGATGAAATTATTCGACGAATAAATCAGAAGAATCGCCAAGAGCAATTTCCAATTTCGTAACTTGTGTTAATAAGATGAAGCAGGTAACATTCGAGAGCAAATTGATCGGCAGGAATCTCTTAGTTCACCTCAATGTTCCTTCCAACATCGATTGTACCTCAACCTGAGTTTAAACTGTCCTTGGACAAAGATTTGAGCTAAGATGAAGGTTTAGTTGGTGTTGGTGGAAACGGTTTACCTTAACCCTACCGAGTGCCGTCATCGTATTCACGATTCACCTTGGTGTCCCGATTGACCCTCGATCGTCTCGATGCTGCAGCATTACGCCTCTTGGACCTTGGCGATAGCCGCGTCGTTTTATTGGCGCGTGGCGGGCGACAGCCGCAAGGCGCTGGACTGCGTTTGGCAAGGCCTGGAGAACACCCCGAAGGACACGCAGGACATACTCCTCCTGAGCCTGGCGTCTCTGCTCAGCTCGCAGAATTATTTCCACGAGGCCCTCGAGGTCGCCCAGATCGCCCTCTCCATCGGTCCGGACTTCATAGTGAATCACTACGTCCTCGCTAATCTTCACGCCGCCCTGGTAAATCGAGAGAGAGAGAGAGAGAGAGAGAGAGAGAAATCGGATATCCACGGTCGGATATCGCGACGTACAATGCGCAAGATTTACATTCAGATGAAGCAAAAGCGCTCCGTCCGTCTGTCGTAGGGTGACTTCGAGACCGCTGCGAGTTTTTACAGATCCTCGCTCGAACTCGACCCGAACTTCGAGCCGGCCATCACGAGGCTGCAGGTGATACTGTGCTTTTTGCTGTTCGACGACAAGAGATCGGCCATGAGCGAGATACTGAGGAATATCTTGTGATGCTACGCGCCCATCGTGGACGATCAGTTCGCGGGAATCGGACGGGGGTTGTTAAAAGTGCCTTCTTACTATTCGTACATGTATGAATTTTACGAGATACACGTTACGTCGAGAAGACGAGAAAAATATGGCCGTGACACTTGTGTATGTTTTTTTTGTTTTTCTTTTCTGTAATTCGGGGAACATTTGTCTTTTTTCTCATCTCAAAACTCAAAGTTTATCCTACGTCTGGAATAGATGAGATTAGAATCATGCAAACTTTCGAATTCACACGAACTGTTTATTTATTTATTCGTAGATATCGCGCGTTTCTTTCATGAATGTGATCATTTCTCCTTCTTCGTCTACTGATTATAAGTCGATATGTTGTTAGGATATGTGGTAAATTGAATAAAAAGAAATTTTACAGCAATCCTGTGCGACGTTCTTTCCCCTCAGCTTACACGTTGGATTCGTAAAGTGTCTTTACCATGATAAAAATCTGGAATATAATTGTTATTTTGTATATATAATTCTTACATAATTATTACATAATAAAGAAGTTTAAAGTCCCTCAGAAAAAACAGTTTTTATTACTCGTTCGCGTTGAGAAATCGTAAATTTAGCCAAGAGGTAATTGAAGAAGGGTGACATTATCGGCTGTTTTTGGCCACCAGATATAAATATCTGGATTTTGTGGTATAATAAATATTGATCTTATAAGATACTATTAGCTCGATGTTTGATCAATATGTGTACTGATCTACACTAAGGAATGTTAGATATTTTTGTAAAACTATGTAACTATGTATTTCGACATTTATCGTCCACGTTGATTCGACACAAACTTTACCGACCGGAGGTTATTAAACAGCAAGATTTCTCATATCATGTTGAGTCCCGTAAAGCTGAGGGCGGTCTTTACTCTTACCTCGTCGATGTGGATACTCACCTGTAGCTATTGCTTTATCTTCGTAAGTGCAAACACGTAAAGTCGCCGCGTTAATAAACATAAATACAGAGATAAGTTATCGGTAGCGCACAAAAGGCCCAGACAATTCCGTCGGAAGAGTGATCAATACACTTGCTGCATGCCTATTCCGTAATTTTTTTATCTATCGTTTCCAACGTCAAATAGCGGAAATCCTTTTACGGGAAGTTTAATTCATTTAACACCGACTGCTACAATGAAGAAATATATCTTGTTCCTCTTCATCCGGTCCACACGTACAGTCAGATGATTGAAGGTCGCGACATTCTTCCTCGACGAGTCTCGCAACGCATCTTGTATGCGATAGGAGAATTTGTTTTTTAGTTACTCTCAGGAAATACATTTTCCTATCGGATATAGGATGCGTTGCGAATCTCATCAAGGAAAGATTGCAACTATTCATCAATCTACTGTATATGATAACCTTTTCAAAAAAGAGGCGTCAAAAAGCGTCAGGTGTGCGCGTTCCGTCGTCCGAATAAAATTAAAACATTAAAATAAAATATTGTCCTTGAAATATGTGTATTTCCTAGGAAAGAAATGATATCAGAAAATTAGAGTAGAGTAGCAGTAAAATAATGACAAGGAAGAATAATAATGCAAAAATGACAATGGGCTGAAATGTTTATTTTAATGCGACTGTGGGCTACGTATTTACATTAAAGTTTATACAGCGCAGAAATTAATTATTAGTTTATTCAATTATCTTCTCTCATACAACAGTGTAAAATTATTCCTTGACATTTGTTCAACATTATATTGAGAAGAAAGTGTGTGATATTTGTAACTATAGTAAAACGGTGAAGTAATTCTAGTCAGGAAATTCATTTCTGTAGTAAACGCTACAATAATGTTGCCGATAATAATCTCATATGCATACCGCTATTTTTACGTTAAAACAATACGAAGAGGTATTGAGAGGTTGAAAATTATTACAATTTATAGTGAAATTAACAAATTCTTCTCCGAACGTACAATCATATTCTAGTCGGAGTGGAACTTTGCTTCCGCAAAAATTCTCGTCGTTCATCCTTCACGTATTTGTTTAATATAATTAAATAACATAATTAAATAACATTATACATATTATCGTTACTGCTATATTTTCAGTTGAGACCAGAAGAAGATGGGCCGAAAATCGCTATAATTTTCGTGGGATTTCTCGGAATGTACGATGTTTGGAATGTTCACCTGTCCGATTAGAACAACTCTCTCGTTTCGGGGTTTCCTTCGCGCGCCCCTCGCGATGCTCTTCGGCCGCCGAGATGTGATGTGTCATGGAAGCCCCATAATAGTCGCTGTCACACGCACAAGAGTGTTATATCTAATCTTGTGCAGTGGCCAGCAGCTGCGTTGGGGTCCAACGTTGCATCGTGCTGCACGGGATTCCGCTTGCTGCCGCTCGATTGGACCCGATCCACATGCCTAAACTCGCATGAGATACTTTACGAGTGATTTCTTTTCGCGCCTTTTAATGTTCGTGAGAAAAAAATTTTTTCGTATTTTTGACCATAATCGCATAAGTAAGAATTACAAGTCGAGAGAACAATTTTCTTAGCAAGTGTTAAGCGTTGCGCTGAGAAACCAGTTTGATCGAATCTATCTGTAAATGAACAACCGGGCGTGTTTTGATAGAAGGAACCAGAATTTCCGCTTAGAGAGCCAAATGTTCTTAAAAACATTTTACGTACATACCGTAACTAAATTTGGCTTCTATAATCAGAAATTGTATTTCCTTCGACCAAAACGCGCCTGGTTGTTCTCGTCTTCAAATTGATTCGGCCAAATTGGTCTCTCAGCGTATAGCGCACCAGTGATAATAGTCTTACACGCATATTGCTGTTGCTATAATTTTTTCGGTTTAAGACCAGAAGAAATAACCGAGGTCGATAATTTTCGTGGGATTTCTTTCAATGTAATAACATCGACGAAATATTGCACGTGCCGAGGAATCTCCCGATCTTCATGAAAAAAAAATGAAATCGACTGGAATCATTAGTGGAATCTTAAAATCACGATGTCGCAACGCTAACGGCAACAACGAACGAACCAGATGAAGCGTTTCTTTTTTTTTTCAGTCTAAAGTCAGAGAAACTGAAAGGAAAGACTAAAATAGTCACAGAGTGTGCAAAATATTTCGACGCGCGAAATTCGCGCCGCTTTAAGACACGATTCGCTCATCACGGTATGATTTAGATTGATGTGACTCGACGCGTTGAAGACACGCGTTTATGGCACGCCACGCGGTGCATTCATCGAACGAGCGATAGAGCGGAAACAATTCGAAAGGTTTGTTACAATATTCAACGATTCCTTACGATTGCCTTCTCCGCGCCGATGTGCCCGCCGAGGAGAAGCGTTTTCAATATTTGCGGCTGCAATTGCATGAAATATTTATTAGAATAATTAAACTTATGAATACCAATCATAAATATTATATATAAATACCGGTTGCACGAACAAAAATTATAATTGCAAATAAATATCAATTGCAGGCAATAATTTTAAGTAATTATTACTGATAATCGCGTGAAGTGTAATTATAGTCGGATCAGAGTTATTTTTACAGTAAATATTACCGTGGTATTATTGATAATAATTTCACATTGTTGACTGCTGTTGACCTTGTATACATTGACGCTATTATTTCTCGTCTTCAAACGACGCAAAGATACGGCCAGTGCCAAAAATTATTATGATATGCAATGAGATTGGTCGTTCTTTTTCTCAATGCAGGAATACAATCTATGCAAGAACACACGTTTTCTCTTTCTCCTCCCCTCTCCCTCCCTCTCTCTTTCTCACCCTCTCTCTCGTTCTCTTTCTTTCTTTCTCAGTCCACAGGCATTAGGACGATCGACATTACCAGTAATATTGTAACCGATTTATTACAGATCGCTGCGATTCCATCGATCCTCCACCGGAAACGAAGAAAACAGCGAGGCGCGGCTAAACTACGGCGGGATGCGCCGTCTGACGAACACGTGGCCGCTGAAAAGAAGCAACGTTCCTCGGATTCGCGCGACAACAAGTTCCCGGCTCTCCTTGACATCTCATCAGGCTTCGTACGACACGATCGTCTCATAATCGCGCGGCAACAAAATATTCCCGATGTGGCATTTAACGCGTACCTCCCGGCCGCGTTCAACATCAAGTCCGATGCGTGTTTGTCATCGTTTCCGTCATCCATGTAATCGTTAGAAAAAGGCTGAACAGTAGTAGTCAAGGATGTATAAGCGTCGTGGATGAATAAATAAAGCTTATGAAAGTCGCATGCCGGCACACGAGAGTCGTGAGCGAAGGCGCGCACGAGAGTTCAATATTCCCTCGCAGTCGCGATAATTCGAGACGGGAGTGAGACCTTCGGAAACTTCCCCCGGAAATCGTACACGGGGAGAAAATGTTCATTCTATCGGCAACGAACGAACACGCTTCGACCGGGGGAAAACGGGAATTTCTCGTTCTTGTTTAAACCGTATTCGGTTTTTATAATTAGAAATTCCGTTTCCCCGAACTGAGACGCGTCCGATTCGTTCGTCCGGTCGTGTTAATTCAACCGAGCTTTTTCTTCGTGTATTATCGAGCTTTGCTCAAGAAGGTATCGTCGTAGAAGCACGTCCCAGACAGCACGGATGTCCCAAAGTCATCACACAGAAAAGAAATAAGTCTTGAATCAAGAATGGATATTCTCATATATAAGGAAAACCATTATAATCTTCTTCGAAAACGTTTAGTCTTGACTCGATTGAATTGACGCAAGTATTACTCGAACTTGATTCGAGACTAAAAAGGATATCCGAGGATATCGCAACGTTCTCGCTTAAGTACGAAAATATCTGTCTTAAGTTAAGACTGATTTTTTTTTCCGCGCGCATGCAGAAAAGTGTGACGGCATTTATCCGGCGATGAACGCGCGACGAACAATCGATTGGAGGAAATGCTGGACGGAATTTCCGCTTTCTCACGAGTCAAATTCGCTTCTCGCAATCGGAAATTCTCCTCCGGCCGGAACCTCGGTTTGACTCGTTCGTTGTCGGGTGAATCCAGCCGAGTTCTCTGTTGACACGTTTCGACGGATTTCTCCCGGTTTCAGGCGTCCGAGTCAATCCTACCGACTTTTTCGATACGTTCTGAGACATATCCGCGCAATTTCGACGAGCAACATCGCGAGCGGAGCGGAGTTCGCGAGTTCCGACCCGGTCGAGGCGCGCGTGCGGCCGAATATTCCGCCGGGGGGATTTCGCGCGGGGGATTCACGAGGAAGAGGGCCGCGATTATTCCCCGACGACGGCGGGGAACGTCGATGGCGCGCGCGAAGTAAGCTGTGGGGACTGGACATCTGTCGGTTCTATAGGCCGGTAGGACAGTTCAACTCGAATGCAAAATTCATCGCGTTCGATCTAACCGCCTAACCACCGCGCGCTTACGACAGACCTACTGC